TGTGTGTGTATGTATATTATGCAAGCAATACAATATACAAGGTAAAATATTGAATTAAGATATAACCATAATAAAATCACCATAATATGGCACCATAGAGTCATAATGGTATAGATGTTATAACTCAATGTCTAAGGAAGCTAACCATCTAACTTCTTCTGGTGTGGTTGCGATAAGATCATCACAAGTATCTTGAAATTTCCCGAGGAGCCATTTTTGAATTATGTGTATTATCATTTGTTCTGATGCACTAGTGTTACATCGCAGGCTCTCAGCCTGTCCCCACTTAAAACGTTTTGCCTTAGTTCTGGCATGACCCTTCCTGATTCCATTCAGGTGGTTCCATATTTTTCTGGGCTATTACATTCCTGAAAGTGGTTTTGTTGGATCTGTGTAACCTGTTTGGTTACAGTTATTACAAGTTGTCCATTGTAATCACCAGTCTTCATCTAGGTCCATGGTGGCGAACCTATGGCACATGTGCCACAGGTAGCACACAGAGCCCTCTCTCTGGGCACACGCACCATCGCCCCAGTCTTAGGCTTTCAGCTGGGTTTTATAAAACCTTTTCGCTTTAGGCCTCTGCCACCGTATGCAAAAAAAAAAAAAAGGTTCAATCAATCAATCAATTTCAACTTCTCGTGGGAAAAAAAGATCTCGCAAAGTTGGAATTGATTGATTGAACTTTTTAGCCCCACCCAGTCTGCCATTACCACAGCAGCCACACCCACTCAATGGGCCACACCCACTCAATGGGCCACACCCACCTGGCACCCAATGATACATAAGTGGGTTTTGGGTTGCAGTTTGCACACTCAGTCTCTAAAAGATTCGCCATCACTGATCTAGATCATAAAACTGTGGTATGTTATCCCAAATTGGTTTCCTAGACTTAACCCTGGTGCAAGGTAGAGGGTCTAATATTTTATGCATCTGTAGAAACTAAATTATTCAAATAAATGAATTAAATAAATTAAAATAAATACTGGTATTCTTTAGGAAATGTGTTAATACTCCAATTAGATGGACAATATTTTTAATAGTTACTGTTTTCCTGTACCATCATATATTGCTATTTTATTGTGTTTGGTCTTAGATCATAAATAAACTGACTGTATTTTTAATCAGGACTATTGATTGTTTTGATTAATATTAACTTATAATACAAATTCAAACAGCATTAAACATGCAATATAACAAGCTCAATCAAACTGCAAGCACATTCAAATCTAAATTAAAATAATAAAATGAAAAAAAATAACTTTAGTGTTTTAAAACACAACTTTTCTCCAATACTTACAGTAGCAGGAAGTTGACATGTATTTTTTTTTAGAAAATCCATTTATGTAGAAATAGGACCTAACAGATTTGTGAAGAAATGCAAAGTGAAACTGAAAGAGATTGGAGATGCTCTGAAGTAAAATGCACAGTTCATGCAACATAAAATTGCTCTGTATTATCCTAATCATTTCACAAATCTACAAGTGCAGAGGACAAACAGAACAGTAAGGTCATATATTATAAAGTGTCTTCATACAACCGACGAAGACAGGTGTGGCTCTAAGGCTCTTTCCCAAGATGCTGTGCCAGCTGGCACAACCAGATTGCCGGTTGTGTTAGGGCAGTGGTTCTCAACCTTTTTAATGCCGTGACCGCCAAGGACTACTCAACCGATCATAAGTCGAGGACTACTCAACTGGTGCAGCACCGTTTGCAGAATGGGACTTTTGGCGGGCTCAGCAGGGCAGAGACAGCCTGGACAATTCCTATTGGCTTTTGAAAGCCAATAGAATTAGACTCTATTCAAGAGAGTCTATTCTATTGGCTTTCAAAAGCCAATAGAATAAAAGGGAGTAGCACAGCTAAGGAAAAGGGGAAAAAAATGGCGGACTGCGTTGTTTGGCGACCCCCGTGAAATGGTCGTTTGACCCCAAATGGGGTCCCAGCCCACAGGTTGAGAACCACTGTGTTAGGGTGTGATGAGTGCCCCAAGTGTATAGCTTAAACGGAGTCAGAGATAAAACAGCAGGAGTACAAGAAGGCTTTGGAGTCTGTTCTTTGATGTCCTTATTTTACCACTTTGTATATTTGCAGGGGGTTCATAGCATAGTCAAGAGCAGCAGAATCAGCTCATTGTCGCCATTACTGCATCCCATCTCTATAAATTCTGCCACATAATTACTGATTTTGAGTAGGCAACACTTTGACAATCACACTAAGCAGGTTTGAACAGAAGAGGTCACTCTTCACTACTCTCTTTTCCAGCACAATCATGCCTCCTTGCTCTGCTTCAAACGTGGCATTTCTCAAATTGCCCTGGCACAACCCTGACTGTGCAGTTTCTCTGCCAAGTTTTAATTTGATCTGGGCAATATCTGGGCTGCTATTGGTTACTATACAGAGCTGCTGACACGCTCTCTCTCCCTTCCAGCACTGTTTCCAGAGTCATATTCAAGATGTCTTATATTTGTGGAGGGGAGCACCCCCATGTGAAGGCTGAGTGCTGCTGTGTTTTCTAAGGCAGATCTCAGGCACACTTCTTCAATCAGAGATGCTCTGAAACATGTGTTCCTAGAAATACATGCAATTGGGCAAAGCAGTTTCTTAACGTTGGCAACTTTAAGAGGTATGGCCATTAGTCGGAATTAGTCTATGCATCTTAAAACTTCCTGAGGTTGAGAAGACTGGGGTGGAGCAAACAATAGTTGGTCGGAGACTTCTTATGAACCCCTGCCCTTTTCTTCCCCACATAAATTACTTGAACTTTTTTTCTTTCTCTATCCCACTTACTCTTCTTGAAAATCTATTCTGCCTGTTTCCCCTTTTAGCCCAAGCATTGGAAGGAACTGGCTATCAAAGTAGCATTAAGACGAGGCAAAGACTATTCCAAGCTTTGGTGGGAAAGTGAGGCTAATTGTTCGAACATATAAAAAGAGTAGCTTTTATCTAAATGTATTTGAGATAATTGAAGATATTTAACAAAGTTTTAAAAAATCAATACAGTAGCAGTTAAATCAGGTAGAGTGAGTAGTAGGATGAAATCTCTTCACAGAGATGAGACCCTTAGCTTAGCTGCTAAGTGCTCCTGATATAGGACTTTACACTATTGTTGAATGATTAAGTGTTTCATACCCATGTGATTAGTATCTCCTATTACAGATGGAGAAAAGCTGGTTCTTGATTTAATGCGTATTTGTGCTGTACTTTGATCTGAAAGCATTTTAGGAGCAGCAAATGTGACAGCTATTATTTCACATTTTCCTTCACTGACACCTTGCACAAGTTCTAGAATCTAGAGCAAGAGTCTTCTATGTTAAACAGGATAATATTTTCTTCTCTTGCTCATTGATTTTCTTTAGCATGTACAAGGAACCATATACAAATGATCATTTACTGAAGCAAGCATGTTCATTATTTTTCTGTATTGTCTGAGGATACATTTACCATACTTTTGAGCCTGATTGGAAATTTGGAAAACTAGCACTGCTTGATAGAACAATAGAAATACTTAGCTTATCCACTGACAAACATTAAAAATAAATGACAACTTGGGAAATGAATACCTCTGGTTTTACCCTTTGCTTGCAACATAGACAAATTGTGCTTAGTTATAAAAAATTAACATAGGTCTGCAGTGAAATAAAATTAACTTGAACATATTAATCCAGAGGTGTCAAACTGCTAGCCCGCAGGCCAGTTTCATCATACTGAAGCCGTGCCCACCCCACTGCCAGCAATGCAGAGTCGCAATACGTCATGACACATCACATGACATGGCAAGTTTGACACCCATGTAAAATTAATCAGTTTCAGCAATTACTCAGAAAAACTGTTTCTCCCCTCTTTGTCTCAGAATGGCATATCTGTTCACTGGCTCCTCCTGGATTGAGCTGTGGCCCACTGAAGTAAACATGCAACATCTTTTAGAACTGCTTATTGTCTAGTACAAATAGTTTTCTTCAGGTCAAGTTCAACTTATGCATGTAGCTTTTTTCAGCAACAACAGAGAAGTGATTGTCATGCCACCTTTTGGTTTTTCCTAGTGATCAAACCAAATATTAACCAAGTTCAATTCTGCTTAGCTTTTGGAAATTGGCATGGTTAAGTAGATTCTGCTGTTTTATCCTCATTGCAATCCACTTCATACTAAGCTGCTTGCACAATCATTCAGTTTTCTCTAGATTTGTCTTCATTTATCTTTTTAAAAAGTAATGAAGTGTAGCTACCACACTTCTCTTCCAGCATTTTGTTTCACCTTCCAATTTTTTTGACATCTTGATTTAATGTAGATTTTCTTAATTTTCCATGGAACTTCATTTGCAACATAGGCTAGAAAGTTTGTACTCAATTAACTATGACTTGAGCTATGAATTAATTCAACACATTCAACCTAACTAGCGGTATGTTAACCTAGATTGCAGTACAAAAAAGGGAGGGAGAGTTAACACCACATTAGGATGTTGGGGAGGGAACTATATTCAGTATTAAAATTAGAAACCCTACCAATAAGATTTGCAGTGCTTTGTGTACAGCAGACCACTTCGGAAACTCTGATCCAGGGGCGTCAAACTGCCCACCCCAGCTCCGGCAATGCGAAAAAAATCGCGATACGTCGCGACACGTCACGTGACGCGGGAGTTTGACACCCGTGTTCTGATCCGTATGTATATTTGGAATCCGAAATCATTCAGGGTCGGCAAAATCAACAGCTAATCATTTTGTTCCAAGTTTGGAAGCAATAGCTTTCCTCGGCGATTTTCTCCTTCAGCAAACGGGGATCAGAGATCATGGACACGGGGGCTCCTTTTAGCTTTTTGTTTTACACACTCGCTAAATCTTCCCGAGCCGGTTTCCTCGTCCCAACCTTTAACAGCGGCGTGTCACGCCTTCCCCTTCTTAACTCTGGGAAGGCGGGGCCAAAGGAAGGCAACCGAGAGCCATGAGGACTACAATGACCGGCGTCCTTCAGGTTGGGGCGGGTTTGCCCGTCCTTTGCCCGACTTATACCGTGTGCGAGATCGAGAGGAAGGCCGATTCCCGGGCAGATAGCGGATAAACGAGAAGCGCAGAAATATTCGGAGGATGGTGGGAAGGTCTTGGATCCCTCTTTTCCTCTCGTGCTGACAGGATTTCGGGACTGGGCACAATTTCTCGAGGTAGGTGGTTCTGATATTGGAGAAGTGGTCACCACTGGAAAGCTCCTAGCCAGGGAGGCGCCATCCTAGCTTTCTCTCCTGCAAGAAACGCATAGGGCTGCGTGAGAACGCGCGCTGTTAGCAAGGAGTTGCTGTCTGGGGTAAGGTTTCTCTCCCAGGGTTGACCACGTGCTTCCATTTCCTTCCTACAACTTTTCCGCGAAGGTATCCAATAATCCCTGCAGGTCGTGGTCGACAATAGCCTTCTGCCAGGTTGGCGCTCCGGGGTAGTTGATTGCGTGGCGGGAGACTGAGCTTCGAAGTGCTGGCGGTTCTTCTGCAGAAGACTTCCTCCGCCACGCCTTGAATATCATTAAAGAGAACTGTTGGTTTTAAAGTCCGGGAAATAGTCTTAGCGGAATCCAACTTCCCATTTTATTACTCTAATCTAATCTGATGTCTTCCGGTAAAAATGGACTTCGATTCCCCTAATCCCCCCAGCCAGCACAATTTATGCCGGTTGATCGAGAATCATGCAAAATACTTTACATTTGGAGAACAATTGGATTGGGTACTGTTCCATCCAAAGACACAGGAGGGACTTGAATAAAGAACACAACTATGCTCTTGCAGCCCCAAAACATTTTTGGATTAGTCTGTCCCCTTAAACATGGCTCCCATCCTGAGAGAGTACTTGTGTAAAGAATTGTATCATTGGACACTTAAGGCCACTTTAAAAATAAGTTTTTGGTTTACATCCCCAAAAAACTTAACGCACCAAATGAAACAACTGAAAAGTGTTTTCTGCAATGGGCATAAATCATTTTCAAACAGTTTAGTTATATCTCATTGACTTCAGTTACATTCCTGGTGCTTGCACAGACAAATGATAACTATCCAGATCATTCCACTAATCTCTTTATTTGATCAATTATATCCTCCTTTCCTAAGAAACACAGGGCAGCATACACAGCATTCCTCCAATTCTTCACACAGCATCCTTTTGAAGTAGGCTTAGAGAGAATTACTATCCCAAAGTCCTATAGCGAGCTTTTGTGTTTTCCTCAGGGTGGATTTATTCATTGTCCTCCTCTTCTGTTTCTACAGCTTTGGGCACCTTTCTGCCTCTGTCCTCCTTTAAATACTTTAGCAATTTATGAATCCAAACTTTTGGTGCTTTCAAGTGCAATGTGCATTTGGTGTTGTGTTGAAAGCGCTGAACTTAGACCAGGAAGACTTTGGTTCTAGTCCTTTCTTAGGCATGGAGTCCAGCTGAGTGATCATTGATCAGCCATTCCCTCTCAGCCCAATACCAAGAAGTCAAAAACCATCCTGGAAGAAGGTAATGGCAATCCACATCTATAAACTTGTCAGGGAAATTGCATGAAACTGTCTATTACGGGTGTCAAACTACCGGCCCGCGGGCTGGATGCATCATGGCAAAACCACGCCCACCCCATTGCCGACAACGGAAAAAAAGTCGCGATACGTCACAACATGTCACATGACGTTAAGAGTTTGACACCCCTGGTCTATAAAGTTGTCAGGAATCATGAATCAGAATAGAGCTGGAAGGGACCTTGGAGATTTTCTAGTCCAGCCCCCTGCTTGAGCAGGAGAACCTATATCATTTCATGTTCATATTTGACTTGAAGGCACCAAATGAGAAATAATAGTTTACTTTTAGAAAATAAAGCATGGGGCTGATTGCAATCCCTAACCTAATATTAATCTTCCAAACTGTTTGTAATACATTTTTTTGCACAAATTGTTCTGCAGTGTAATACAGTAGTCCTTGAGCTACGAGCCCAAATTTCCATTGCTAAGCAAGAGAGTTGTTAAGCGAGCTTTGTCCCATATTACCACTCTTCTTGCCACAATTGTTAAGTGAATCACTGCAGTTGTTAAGTTAGTAACACAGTTGTTAAGTGAATCTGGCTTCCCCATTGACTATACCCATGGTGGTGAACCTATGGCATGCGTGCCACAGGTGGCACACAGAGCCCTCTCTGTGGGCACGCGCCGTTGCCCCAGTCCTAGGCCTTCAGCTGGGTTTTATAAAACCATTTCGCTTTAGGTCTCCGCCACTGTGTGCAAAAAAAAAAAAACAATCAATTTCATCTTCTCACGGGAAATAAAAAGATCTCACAAAGTTGGAACTGATTGATTGAACTTTTTAGTCCCACCCAGTCTGCCGTTACCACCACAGCCACGCCCACCCAATGGCCATGCCCACCCAGCACCTGACAATAGATAAGTGGGTTTTGGGTTGCAGTTTGGGCACTTGGTCTTTAAAAGGTTCATCATCACTGGACTATACTATTTAGAAGGCTGCAAAAGATGATCACATGACCCCAGGACCCTATAACCGTCAATAATAATAAAGTTGGAAGAGACTTTGGAGGTCATCTAGTCCAACCCCCTGCTCAGGCAGGAAACCCTATACCTGTGGTGGCGAACCTATGGCACATGTGCCACAGGTGGCATGCAAAATCCTCTCTGTAGGCGTGTGCATTGTCACCGCAGTCCTAGGCCTTCAGCTGGGTTTTATAAAACCTTTTCACTTTAGGCCTCTGCCGCCATGTGCAAAAAAAAAAAAAAGGTTCAGTCAATCAATCAATTTCAACTTCTTGCGGGGAAAAAAAAGATCTCACAAAGTTGGAATTGATTGATTGAACTTTTTAGTCCCACCCAGACTGCTGTTACCACCACACCCACGCCCACCCGGCACCTGACGATACATAAGTGGGTTTTGGGTTGCAGTTTGGGCACTCGGTCTCTAAAAGGTTTGCCATCACTGCCCTATACCATTTCAGACAAATGGCTGTCCAGTCTCTTCTTAAAAACTTCCAGTGTTGGAGCATTCACAGCTTCTGGAGGCAGGTTGTTCCAGAAGCTGCCAGTTGCCAAGTGCCCAATTTTTGATAACGGGATGCTGTAATGGTTGTAAATCAAGGACTATCTGTATCTTGCAGCTGTATTTTTGTTTCTTTTCCAATAGGTAATATCCATTTTGAAATTATAGAACATTATGAGATGGTCAGATATTCAATTATGTATAAGAAATTCTCTAGCAGGACATAACCTCCCCAGTTTGGGTTTTCCCTCAATAGAACCAACTCTACAAGAAGAGGAATTGCTATACTGCAAGATTATCTTTCTGTGTGCCTCAGTTTTGGTTAAACCAAAGGGCAACAGACTGCTTGGCCATGCTGGATTTCTCGAAGTAAGCTATCTGTTTTGGTTACAGTGCAATGTCTCTTGGAATACAGCAGGCATAGAAATTATCATAATATTGTACTTATCTGAGGCGAATAGATGGCTGGATAGAGACATATAAATGGCTGACATCCAGATTCTCTTAATGAATAGATAAATAATTTCATTCCCTGATTATATATAGAAGTCAGTCTAAAATGATTTTGTGGGAATGAAGATTGTCATAATTCTACAGCATCTGAAATGATACCTTATTTGCTTCTCTATAGCCAACTTGATATCTGTAGTAATAATGAAACCTTAGTAAGAAAAGGGAACATAGGTTCTCTAGAAACAAGAAAGCTACAAATGTGAATTGAACTTATATAGGCTTTTTTCAAACTTGTTTTGTTTTGTTCAATAATGTATATTTCCTGTTTGGATAGGAAGTACCCTGGAAAGATAAAATACTATATGTTCTATATATGATAACACAAGAATACAGAATAACCAACTGTACAATCAGTTCTTTGTTAAATAATTTTGTTAAAGTATGTGGCAGCACTCAGGTGATCTTACCAGTTCAGTCCACAGGGTTCTGATCTGGGGTTTTTGTCTCATCGGGAATATATAAGCATTTATTATCAACAGGGCACCATAGTTAAATTTGATTAATACTGCCATGACATATGTCTTGACTACAGGGAGGGGCTTTGTATTTTAAGCAGGATTAGGCCTGCTTAGTACTTAGATGGGAGATCATGAAGGAATTCCAGCCCTGTGAACTAGACTGGAAAATTTTAAAAAATCCCTAATGAAGCAACCTTTTTCATGCTGTTGTCAAGAACATTGCATTGGATCTGTTTGTGAGATCCGCTGGAGTTAGTTCAACTTTTTAAAAAAATGCTTTGTTCAAGATTATCAAAGTGAAATTATTGTTTTTTCAACTTTACTGGAACAAGTTGTCATTTTTTTAAAAAAAGTATATATTTAAAACATTTTATATATAAATATTTTTCTATTTTATTTTCACTGAGTTTCGGTTCCTGCAATTTATGATGTACTGTACAATATTTTTGGCTTCTCATTGACATGATTTTTGAGATGGATGAATAAATTCACATTATTTGCTTTGTTTCTTTAAAAAGCTTTAACTATTAAGACTTGCCTTAAAACATTAAAATATGAGTTCAGTCATGAGTTCCCTATTCTTCAGCTGTTTTCTGTAATAAGTAGGATGAAAGAGATGGAAGGAATGTTACTTAAATTTGTAGGTGATACAAAATTGGGCAGAAATAAAATGCATTAATAATTTTGGTAGAGTTGGGGAATGGGCAGGTTAGTAGAATTCATACCTTACTAGTTTACTGTCGAGAGCAGCAGCTCAAAATAGCGGGCAGGAGACAAGGTCTTGAAGTGAAGTGAAGGCTTTCAAGATGGGCCAGATCAGGAAACAGACTGTCATGGTTCCGATAGATGAGACCATTTAAAAGAACTTCAAGGCAAGAAATTCTTCCTTAAAGAACATCTTTATTTGGCTACAATATAACGGCACATTACAAAGGTGAACCCAAGACTAAATTCCCCTCCCCTTGGTTACAAAGTTGCAAGTTGCAATTCCCACCCCAATTTGCTGTCATAAATCACATTCACCAATTGTTAGAAAATGCAGACACTCCTCCCAGCTCTTATCAGCAATGACCTTGGTTCCCATACATGTGAATTATTTTGGCTAACTGAAAGCTACACCTTCCCTTTCCTTCTAACTAAATATGTGGCAACGAAGACAAAATGAAAATGGCTTCAGTTCAGTTTGCCACAGC